CTAAGGCACCTGTAATAATAGACATTTCTTTTTCAAAGCTGAATATGGTTTCCTTTATTTATTTCAGCCACTTTTACTAGGTCATATCTTGATCTCATTTTAGCTGAGGTGAAATTATGTCAGAAGGTTAATTGTTAAGTGACTTAATGTGCATATTGAAATTATGCATTGAAACCATAAATCAGTCATTGGCAAGGACCAAAATGTGCAGCCAGATAACTAAAAAACTATCAGTATCTTTTCCATATGCACTACCAAAGTTCTTAAATAATTAATATTTTTGGAATATAATTCAACAACACCATGGCATTTTTAAGTCATAGTTAGACAAATAGCTAGGGAAAGACATAGAAGCCATCAGCCAGGACATTTCCAAAGCCTTTCCCACAGTTACTTACTCATATGTATATATCAGCCAAGCCATTTCAGATTCTGTATCAAAGGAAGGTCAATGATCCAGGAAGAAATTACAATAAAAAGCAAGCATAGGATCTTTAATAGATAGGCTTGTGCCAAATAATAGTGTGTTCAAGACCTGACAGTTTTATCCTGGCTACTTGCACATTTCTCAGCTTTCAGGAAAGCAATTTGCTTCTTTGTCCATAAAAGTAAAAGTAAAAAACTGAAAAAAGCTGTGTCTTAGCAAGTTGAGCCAAACCCATTTCTGTAGTGGAAGGAATCTAATTGCTGAGATTTCTGTAACCTTATTCCATTTGTTGTCAAGTCTTGTTGAAGGAAACTGGAAAAACCTTGTTTTCAGTTGAAATTTACTGCCAGGAACTCAGCATACTGAAATTGGCATGGGGTACAGCTTTGTTTGAATTATTCTATCAACCTGCTATCTGAGATGCAGAGATCAAATAAGGGTATCTGGCTTTCAATAAAAATTAAAGGAGAGAAATATTTAGTTTCATTATTCATGTAGAATGACAACACCCTATCTGGACTGCATGTTCCAGATAATTAACAGATAGAAGCAAAAAGCTAGGTTTTCTATTTCTTTTCATTTGTTTATCCAGATCTCTACAGGGCAAATTACAAATTAGAAAGGAAGGCAATGATTATGTTTATTAATAAATTTTTTCTTTAAACATACCATATTCGAGACACCATAATGGGCGGGATCATAAGTTCGTTGAGCCAAAAATAAACAAATCATATTATGGTTAAACTCTTACATAAATTAGGTCCATATGTACAATCAACTATATGCTTTGCATACTTGAAATGCTTGGGATCAAGGAAGAAAAGGTGTTTATGAGAGCTCCCCTGATCTATCTATCTTATTTTTACTTGTTCCAGTAGCCTGGGAATTTTCTGAATTTCTGTCAACTATTACAAATAGTTACCATTATTGTGATAAAGGTCAATTGTGTATATACAAATCTAATACTGTAAGGATTATATGTATCACAGACACATTTTGTATTGCTCATTCTGTAAGTAAAACAGTAAGTAACTCCAGATTCCAAAGTAGTACATAAGTTTTTTTATTATTCATTGCTATGGAAATTCTTGACTTCTATTCTTATATGGAAATTTAAACAACGGAGATTAGTTTTTCACATCAAAGGCAAACAAATTGCAGTCAATCGAATTTTAATTATGCAAACATCAATTATTCTTACTTTACCAATATTACTTTAATAATATTAAAATAACCATTGGAGAAATTTTTCTCTTTCTGAATAATAATGTTCCCACTTTGCTATTCTAATGCTTGTTTATAACACGGAATCCTATTAATGTTTGTTGACGTCTTCATAAATGACACTGAATTTAAAATGTGACATTGTTTTGACATAAAACAAAGAAAATACTCTATAAATCCCTAATGTGTGTGAGTCATAACACTGGAAGATTTAAATCGATTATCTTCAATTTTAGATAGTACATAAAAAACTTGAATTGTCTATGGTTTACTTATTTATGTTAAACTGAAATCATATCTATCTTCAAATAAGCCCCATTTAATTCAACAAGACTTATATGCCAGTGGAAGTTTGTAGAATTGTGCTGTACGTTTCTTAAGGCTACTTAAATGCTCCTGAATATGAACCAATTTTGAAGAGTTTATTCTCGATGAAAATAAGTCAGTGGAGGTCACAAAGAGTTTCACATGGTCCTCCAGCATTCGGTTTTTCTACTTAATCTGAATCAAGTCAGTATTTAAGAAGTAAGAAGTTCTTTTTTTAATGCTTCTTTTATAACATTTTAATTTGTGCTAATATATGTATGCTAAGAATATTACAATTTATTTTGGAAATTAAATTTTCCTCAAGGTTTGGATTATTGCTCTTCTTACCATGTTAACAAGTGTGTTTTCTCTCTTGGTTATGGAATGGAAACTGTCAGGAAAAGTTGAAACAGAAAATGTTATCCTGTTAGTTCAATATAATTTCTTAGAATTGTATTTAAGAGAAACTGAAATATAATCTTTCTTGTTTCTTCTAAAATAAAAAAGATGGTGCTGGTGAATTTCTGCTCCATGATAATTTATCATTAACTTACAAGATGTTGAACTTTCCATCCACTCTTTGTGTCTTTTCACATCTACATGAAATTACATTTTTTTCTGGTGTTTTTTCATCATTGTTGACTCCTGGCATTTGCCTGGTGTAATTCCCTACAGGGTTTTTTGGCAAAGTTTTGGAGAGACTTGTCATTGATATCCATCCATAATCAATGATTATGAAAAGTACTGAAATTGGATCTTAGCTGCTCCTAGCATTGCACATTTCTGGACAGAGAACTCTAATGTTGCACCTGGAATCTGTTGGGGCCACTCTCCCACCTTAGGAATCTCAGTAATTGTGAGGAACTTCTGGCTCTTCACTTTGGCAGCCTCATGCCCTCCTTTGTCCAACTCATTATATCAGCAGGATATCTGATGACTGGCAGTGCATATGTGGTAATTGTGTGACTCTCCTTATTGAGCTAGCTCTTCAGGATCTGTCCTATCCTTTGGAGGTACTTGGATATTGCTGTCTTCCTTGCATATTATTTTCATGTGATTGTAGAATACCAAGATACTTGTAGCCAGTCTATATGTCTGTTATGTGACTCACTGGTAGTTCCACCACATCAGATTGAACTATCTTCACACACTTCTCCCAATCTGAACAACATCCCTGTAGATCCATGTCAGGTGAATCAGTGAGTCATTGTCTTTTTAATTCTTAACATACAGCTTGATGTCATCTATGCAAAGAAACTGATCAATGGTTATTCGATTCTTAGCTTATATCTGTATCCAGTTCTTATGATTAACTGGCTGAGTGGGTTCAAGACTATGCAGAACAGGCGGAACAGCAGCAAGATCAGCATCACTTTGGTATATGCCTCATTTGATGGCCACTTGTGCAAGTTAACTTTAGTTGATTTTCAGTGTTGCTTTCCAATCTCATTGAGTTCTTGAGGAAGGTCCTTATGTCCTGTTTGTATAGTGCAAGGCATTCACACATCATGAGCTTGTGGCATTGAGTCATGGCTTTCCTATAATCAATTCAGGTTGTGCCCATATTGGTCTGTCTAGACTTTTGGGGCAAATCTTATATCTATGAGCAACAAGTGATTTGAGACTTGATGTTGTTCCCAGTGCCCTTCTAAGCATGCTTTTGTACTGGTCCATCCTGTAGCTTGGTGATTATGTTGCCTGATAGGACTTTCCAAGTTTTGAAGAGGCAGGTAATCATCACTTGAGACTTTCAAGAAGAGATTGGACTGCCATTTGTCAGAAATGATGTAGAGTCTCCAGCTTGGGCAAGGGGTTGGACTAGATGACCTACAAGGTCCCTTCCAACTCTGATTATCTGTTATCTGTTATACTTAGTATTAAAATAATAAATAAATATGACAAAAATAGAATATCACATATTGATATATTCATAAGTACTCAGAAGTATTTTCTAATTGTCAGAATGTATTTTACAATCTTAGGATAAAGTTGTTCTGTAGGAGATGACTAGGCAAAGCCCAAAGGCAAGGTCAAATGCATCATCAGTTTGGAATCATTATGCAGCTACAAGGACCTAACTCCAGCCACATGTGAATTCCATCAACTCTTATCTAGTGCCAATTTGCCTTGTCCATTAATAGATTAGGTTTTTATGTATAGGTAGCATGTAACTAATTTTAGTGCTTTGAATTCAGCTCCTACTCCTGGTGCCTGACATTTCTACTTATCAAAACAAAATGCAAAACACTCTGCCTAGTTTTCTAAGAAATAAAATGGTAAAGATGAAATCATCATAGTTATTGTATTACCTTAATATTAATTACAGTATAAATCAACAATGAATGATACACACTTTGTATGTGATAAACCATACTATCACAGAGTAGCTATACCATGTACATTTTTATATATTTATTTACAAGGACTATAAGTCACTTCAATCAGGTTCAACTCTAAACAAGAAACTACTTTGTGATTTGATTAAAATTAGCAAGTCAGTGGAATAGCAGGCAATAAAATTGCAAATCATGGTCCTGTGATATCTCACTTAATACCATAGCTTATTTGGTTAACCATGGTGGAAGTGAGGTCATAAGTTCATTGCATCATGTGATGTTAATGATCATATTGCTTAGCGACAGAGTTGCTGATCACAACTGTGATCGTTAAGTGATACTTGTAGTATCTAAACCTTATATTATTTTACATGATGAAGGCAGATGAATATTTAATAAGCCAGAGACTAAACATTCAACCTAAAATAAGTGAATATTGTTGAAGTGTTGAATTTAGCAGATTGATTTATACATTTCAAGTTCATAAACAATAAAAATATTTAAAATGGAATATTTAGTAATTCTACATTTTTCTTAATATTGATCAACATTATATCGTAACTTCATCATAATTTTTCTTTATATTAATTTAAATGTTACTATTCCCCTTATTATATTATAATTCTTACATTAATCTATCCATGTTTTTATGCAACTAAATCAAATCCTTTGTCATCTTTTTTCAAGGGCTGAAGTCAAGTGACCCAACCATGACCGGCAAAACACAGACCAGTAATGTCACCAATAAGAATGATCCCAAATCCATCAACTCGAGAGTCTTCATTGGTAATCTTAATACGGCCATTGTCAAAAAAGGAGACATAGAAGCAATCTTTGCAAAGTATGGAAGAATAGTTGGCTGTTCAGTGCACAAAGGTTATGCATTTGTACAATACATGAGTGAGAGGCACGCAAGAGCTGCTGTGGCAGGGGAAAATGCCAGGATCATTGCAGGACAACCATTGGGTGAGTGTCTGCATGGTCCCTCATGTTCATTTTATTAATTTTTTTACCTGTTTAGTTTCTAGATTCGTTTCTTTTATATCCAACCTGAATCCACATGAATTCAATTAACTGTATTTTGTAGGCATTCTAGTAGTGAGCAAAAGTCACAGTGCGCTTAGTATTCTTTACATGATCAAGGAAGTTTAGGACTACATAGATATGTGCATATAACTCTTATGAAAGAACACAATGTCCACTTTCAACTGTGGGTATTTCTTAGGCCCATATATCCAAAGGTCGGCCCTTCAGCATGAATTATGACCTTGTCTAAATGTATCATACTTAACATGAACCAATGTTTATGATTTGGACAGCAAGCATAACTGCTGTAGTCAGAATGAAAACTTCAATACCCCTTATGTCTATAAAAAAAGAAAAGTGTGAGTCGAATGTTTTCTGTGTTTGATTCATGAAATTCTAAATGATGGCATTGTGAAAGCATGGAGCTCTTTTGGCCTTTAAGATACATAGCTACTCCTCGACTTACAATCACAATTGACCCCCAAATTTCTGCTAAGTGAAAGGTTTATTAAGTGAGTTTTGCCCCATTTTACAATCTTTTTTGCTATTGTTGTTAAATGAAACTGCAGTTGTTAAATTAGTAACATGGTTGTTAAGTGAATCTGGCTTTCCCATCGACTTTGCTTGTCAGAAGGTTGCAAAATGTGATCACATGACCCCAGGACACTGGAACCATCATAAAGATGAATCAGTGGGAAAAACAATCATAAGTCATTTTTTTCAGTGCTGTTGTAACTTCAAATGGTCACTAAATAAACGGTTGTAAGTTGAGAACTGCCTGTAGTTAAATTATAGTGCTTAGTATGTGCAGATAGGAGCTTCTTGTTAATTATAGACAAATTTGGTTTTTGACAGCTGCACCAGTAGACTGGAGGTCATACTCATTATGCACTTTCCTAGCATAAGTTCCTGATACAATTTTCATCTTAAATTTAAGGAGATATTTAGTAGCTAGCAAATAATATATAAGGTATGGTATAATTATGGAAAATGAAATAAGGTCAGCAATAGGTTGATTCAAGAAAAGCTTTATCCAGTCTGCTGCCCTGCAGAAGTTATTGAGGAAGTTTGAAGTACTGCAATCATTAGTGATTTGGTATACTGCACAGTAACCATCATTTTTATGGAATGACTATTATATAGAAGCTAATAAGGTATGTTTTTTTATTTGTCTTTTGATGTATAGAAACTTGTTTGGAGTAATCTTTAAAATAAATGGGAGAAAAACACAAGCCAGCATAGTTCAATGAGATTTTCAGGAAAAAGATTATGAACATGCACTAGACATTCTCCTGTAAAAATTTACTGCCACCTTAAGCCATTTGTTCTATGCTGCTCTGCTATACATACATAAACACACATTCATATATCTCTATTCCGCTTCAAAAGACTCAGGGTGGTTTATTAAAAATATAAGCCATAAATAACAAGCATCACTTTCAGGAAGAAAACATTTTAACAGTAGCCCAAGTCCACCATCTGCACCAAAGGTTTATTAAAACAGAAAAAGGTTTCAACAACTTACAAAATTTCTAGCAATTATTCTGAAGATAAAATTTTCAGGATAATTTTATCATACACAATAAAATATTTGAAAATATTCTATAGGATTCAGTCCAGAGATTTTTGCCAAATCAAATTTCAGTGGCATGTTTCTAATTAATTGTTCTTATTCAAAATCCTGATTTTTTTACTCTGTTTTTCTGAAATTTCCCCATATTCTCTTTTTTCTTTCCTTTCCTCGCTGGTTCCTCGCCTCAGAATATGCATTTATTTCCATGATATGTCTATATTTGCTGTCTTTCATTAAAATTATTGGACAATTGCTCTTTGGGTGCATTAATACACTTTTGTCTGAATAGTTTTTAATAGGAGTTTAGGTAATTAGCTAATGTTATTTAGTTACTTTATTTAATAACAAAAGAACAAGATGGATGGAGTCAATTCATCTATATCCTGGAATTAAAAATACTTGTGTTTATGTTCATTTTTAAGTAAACAAAACAAACATTCAAACAAGATTTGATCAACCTCTTGAGCTGAACAACTATTAGATTTTTGTAAGCAAAAAATCTTTCCTTCCTTCCTTCCTTCCTTCCTTCCTTCCTTCCTTCCTTCCTTCCTTCCTTCCTTCCTTCCTTCCTTCCTT